TACTTGGATACCGCTGCCGCTGCTGCTACATTTGGATTCCCGGGCCAAGTGTCCCACTCAATCGGCGGATCCCAGATGCGCCCCGGATTCGTCGAATCCACGATGCGTCTCCGGACCATCTTCGCCTTACACCTCGAATTGCTCCGGAGATTCGAAAAGTGCAATGCGATGCCAAGGAGACTTGTCTGGAGCCTGCACCTGTTGCACATGAACAGCTAGGAGGTGATGAGCAAACAGAAACTCGGAAGTGAAAAGCAGACTTGCCGGAACGATGGCTTCAGGGACGTCCGGGGACGGCGAGCGTGAAGGCTATACACACGTCAAGACGGCGCTGCGTAAAGAAACAGTAATGGGTAACGCACTGTATCCACACGACGGCGTTTCGATGAGCCCTCACCACGGTTGTCCTGCGATGGGTTAGTAGACGCACGACTAAAAGAGGAAAAGCGTACATCGACCGATGGGTTCCGAGCACGTTTGCTGGCGACGGGCTCCGGCGCGGGAGGCGGGTTCTAAAGGGAGATTAGCCGGTAGGACGTGAATGGAAAGGAAAAAAAAAAAAAAGACGTACTTCGGCGAGCCATTGAGCAATATTCAGCATGGGACCCGATTCGCGAGTAGCGCGGGTCGCGTCCGGAGGTAGGATGCGGAAGAACTGTCCCTTGCAGTTCGTGGCTGCGTGCTCCCGGATATGGCCGAACTGCTTGCGGCAAGGACCCACACATCGGTGCGGCTTGACACCACCCACAGTCTCCGCTGCCGGCTCCGGGCCCTAAGAGTAGTGAGATAAGAACGTAGAGATGGTCTGGATCACTCACCGTGAACACCCATTTGCATCTCTTGCCCACCCGCTCCCCATCGACGATCCGCTGGTACTCGTTTTTTTTGCGGCACTTGCTTCTCTCTAAGTGAAGCCCGATGTCGGGATATTGGCGGCTACAACCATAGCAGTGGCCTCGGATGACGGCGCGCTCTGGGGCGGGGAGAGTCTGAAGTGCAACGACGTTCGGTACGGCGGCGGGTTGCGGGGCGGGGGCCGGTTCCGGTGCGGAGGTGTCCCGGTCGACGTCCATGTTGTCGGTGAGGTGGGTGAAGTCGACGGGAGCATTGAGAGGTGGAGGAGGAGCAATCGATGGCAGCATCAATCGTCGAACGAGTTGTTTACGGCCGATACCGCAAAGTGGGATACGGTGGTACGCGATCATGTGAGTCTTGTATGCCAGTGCCGTGAACTTGTCCGTGCCGCAGGATGGAACTGGGCATTCGAATTCAGCGTCGTCGTCAGCGTCGTCAATTTCGCGGGCGTGGGCTTTGACATGGGTGGAGAAGACGCCGTTGGTAAGAAACCTAAAGTATTGAGATCAGTGATAGCGAGAGAATCGGCCAAAAGAACGACTGACTGGAACATGCGGCGCTCAATGGACAGCGTCTTGTTGTACACGCAGTCGGGGCAGTGCATGGGGACCAGCGCGACGCCGTGATGAGTCTCACCGTGGAATTCCGGCGCCTTGCCAGAAAACCCCGTCCCGTGTTGATACTCAACAGCGTTGTCGATGGGATCGGTGAACTCGACGCCAATCGGGGTATGGTCGACTGATCCTTGAACGCGCGTGCTGAATGGACCATACAGAACATCGAAGTGCTCCCACAAATGTGATTCGTATGCGAGGCCGTCCCCAAGTTCATCCACGTGCCTAAGAATGTGGTCAGTAAAAAAAGAAAAATCAAGAACAGACGGCGACGTACCACTCTGGGCAAATGTCGCAATAATGTACCTCAATTTCCTTCTTGGCATTGATCGAATGCACCTGCGCCATGTGCTTGTGCCAATTCTCCTCCTTGACCGCACCGCAAATCTCGCCTCCCGGGAGCCGCCACAGACACATCCGAGTGGGAAAATTTTGCGTGGGAGGAAGCGAAAGAGTGAGGAGGTGTTTCTCTACGTGCGATGTGAATCCGGGGCGGGTTTCGAAAGGTTGATCAGCTTTTTTGCACTTGTCCCACTCGCAGAGCTGCGGTGGGTAATTGGCCTCGACATAAGCTTGGACACGCTCTTGCTGAGCACGTAGTAGACAAGCGTGAATGTGCGAGCCGACCGTCGCAGATCCGGAACCGTCGAATGCACGAGGGCTAGGGCAGACAGTGGATCAGAGCGTGAATGGGCGTCGAACGACGACAACAACATACCTGCAATCCCTTTTACAGACGGGACACTTTTCATCGGCAGTCGGCGCCTCCCCTGGATAACATGCAGCGAATGGACGCTCTGGAAGTCCGAGAAAGGCGTTTACGCAAGCAGTCACCTCGGCGGTAAGGTTTTCGGCGTCTGCGAACCGGTAGATGATATCGCAAAGCTGGGCAGTCGGATCCAAGGTGTCGACGTCGAGGAGGACCGAAGATGCGATCTTGGCATTCTCCTTGCCTTCTGAGGTGATTACGCGCAGCTGGGTAGGGACCGAGGCTGTCCGAGTCTTGTCAGCCAATGGCGGCCGCGCGAGGATCCTGCCCGGGGCAGAAGGTGGCGCCTAGTTCAACAACGATGAGAAATGGTCCCATGAATAGTCAAAGGCGACGTACCTCGCCCGTCAACTGCCGCCGTGACGCCCCAGCATGGAATTTCTCCCTCGTTTCCTTGAGGAGGAATGTACGCTCGCGGTTGAGTATGGCGTGATATCGCGCTTGGAGCTCTTCGCGCTGCTTGCGTTCTATTCGGAGCCGGCAGTGCAGGTCCGCAATGGCGTCGTCATTTGTACTGTCTTCATGATCAAGCGTCTTGAGCTGCCGGACGAGATCGAGGACATTTTCCTTAAGCTGTGATTGCATGAGCGCCCGTAAGGAACAAAGGGATAAAAGTACCTTGGCAAGCTTCTGCCGCCTTGCGACCAGCTCCGGTTCGCGGTCGAGTTCGGCGAGTTGATGGACAGTCAGCCGTTGAGGCGCATTCGCGTCCCGCCCGACGGACATGCTCGTCGATGCCTGCCAAGACATTAAGGAAAGGGCACAGCTTGAGGAGTCGAGGTACTTGCCTTAGCCAACGCGACGGCAGCTGGGTCCTCCCCCCGCCCGTGCAAAATGCCGCCAAGATCATGGGTGAAAGTCTTGGATTGATACGCTTTCTAAAAAGTCGGGAGCGAGTTAACAAAATGAGGCAGCCGGAGACAAAACACACAACTTACAAAGAACATATGGGTTCCCGGCGCATGAGTCAAGATCCCGTCGCGCTGGACGTCCTTGAGCAGCTCTGAGAACTTGTTTGCTGCTAGCCGTCGCCAGCCGTACATGATAAGATGAACTGAACGATGTGTCAAACGGTGGATGTGAGTCGAATCGGAACGGACATACTAATGTAACCCATAGCAAAACACGCCTTCCGCAAATGATCATTTTGGGTCGAGGCATTGAGCGCCTTTGTATCTGATGTCACCCAGTTACGGTTGTCGTCGAGGACCTCGGCTCGGAAGACTGCTTGTTCCTTGGCAGACTCCTTAATCGTCAAAGCATGGGCGGCGGTCGGAGCATGCTTGGGAGAGAGGATGTCCTCGATCGTCTCGAGGTCCGCAAAGATGTGGTCACGGAGGGCAAGGTAGAACAGGATAGTGACAAGACATGTTGCGCGGTTTCCAGGCGGCTCCATGAGAACCACGACGGTTGTGTAGTGTCCTTCCTCTCCTCGATGCCCTTTGGGATTGCGAAAACACACAGCGGCGGACTGGAATGGCTCGAACGGGGCGTCTGGGTTTGGGACGACCATAAAGGTGACGTCCTTCCACTTGATACATTCGTTGGATCCTGTATAGCAACAGCTCTCGATGATTCCGCCTGGACGATGGCCGCTGAGCGCTGCGATGAGGTTGATTCCGATAAACTGAGCTTTGCTGCGCGTTGTGCGAAACAACTTCGTGTCGTTCAGGGTGAATCGAATGAGGTCCTGCAGGTCGTACTCTGTCGGCGTGGCTTTAGGGCGAATGGCCGTGGAAAGAGGTGCTAGTTCTCGAAGTTCCAGTGAGCCCGCGAAGGCGCTGACTTGATAGCGCACTTCCTTCGAGACGTGCTGGTTCGCATATCGAGCCCAGCAAGCAAAAAATGTGCAGATGTATTGGCGCACAGTACGGCGTGTTGCGTTGGCTGTAAGGCGACCCTGGAGACCGAGGGCAAGGTACAAAACGAAATCCTTTATAGCTCCTGGAGGGAAATATGAGTGGTGAGCAAGACAGAAGAAGAAAGAATGAGCGCACCTTCTGGGGGCAGCTTGCTTCCGACTACTATCTCAGCATCCAGGGTATCGCGGTCGCTGCGAAAGTCCGTAAAATCACGCCATTTTGAGCGTACGTTTTCGTGATTTTCTAGAGTCGGCTGCGCCAGGAGTTTGTAGTGATAGGTACCGTCAAGGCCACGCTCCAGGACTTCAGCGATGGCAGGGTTGGCGGCGGCTTTCAAGCGGACGCGTTCGGCATCGGAGATCGGGTCTGCCGTGCGCAGCCCCATGGTCAAGAAATAGGATAGAGAAAAGGTCGTTCCAAGAAGAGAGGGAGTTCCAAGAAAAATGTCCAAGAAAATATGGGCAGCCCAAGTGGCGCGCAAGAAAGGGCGATACGACGAGCCGCGCCTCTTAAATACTGGCGAGCCATTTGGATGGGACGTAAACCTACGAAGCAGAAGAAACGTCGTCCGTCGCGGATAAGTCTAGTGTCGCGGGTCACGATGAGCGCTGGACGAATGAAAGACTTGCGAAGTCTTTTTCAGCAAGATAAATTCAATACGGGTGTGTGCGATGTGAAGAGAGAGGTGGTTGGAAGCACCCGGGAAAAGAATCCTTGAGCCCGATTGGCGCGCTCAGCTCGGGATAGAACGTCACGTCGGGCACGCAATTAAATGTGAAGAGAAGGAAGCACAGGAACCGAACAAACAGCCAAATAGAGCCATACGCGCCGTGGAGCCAACGCAAACAGCGCCACACGCGTCTACTATACCTAGCTTGTTAAAACCAGCCTTTTCCAATGTCCGATATGGTGTAGCGGTAACATTACCGCCTCTCAGTGAGGTTCAAAGCACCTGAACGCGGTAGCCCGGGGTTCGACCCCCCGTGTCGGAAGTTTTTGGCATTTTGGTGTTTGACCAAATGCATCCCGTGGATCCACAGGGAGAATTTCTTACGTAAGCTCCTCACTTGCGTAATCAGAGTGCGCGGCAGCCCGAGGTTCGATTCCCCGATTCGGAATTACTCTTTTGCTCCCTCCTTCAATTCTGCTTCTTTTACTAACATTCTGTACTTTCTCCAAAACGTAGACTAGCCTTATGGTTTCCTGCAGAATCTCGAGGTAAAGAAAGATACTAAATCCCTTTTTATTTTGCTTTCAAAGTTGAAGCACTTCCGAGTGACATGAATAGAGGTTGGGAAAGCGTTCGAGCTTTAATAGCGTGCTTCACATCGACTCTGCCTCCATATTTTGCCACATTTCAATTGTATGCGGGTTCAGCAGCAACATTCGTTATTTCAACCGCTACACCAATTCGGACATGTGAACTCCGGAGAGTTGTGATCACGATCCAAATATGTCCAAACATCGCTCTTCACTTCCTACCACGACTGTGACGACAGGCCAAATCCCAACTTCAACGTCCCCAGACTATAATGGCTAGCCTCTTTACACCGCTCTCAACCACGGATTACCGCAGATCCAATCGCGAAGAAGAACGTCGATCCCTCAACTGTCGTATTTGGTATTGGCTGAGGAGCTACCTGGAAGTGTGGGTGGTAAGCACTGTACTATGAACATTTTCGACTTGTTCTAGGATGCCGAGCACGTCTTCGGCAATTGTACGCGCGTCCCGGCCTGTCTCTGGGAAACTCGTTTCGACGTATATTCGCTGTTAGCTCCCTACAGGTTGACCGGAACTCCTCCTTGATCGTAACACGGAAGAAACGAATGCAGACACCGACGCCGCCGCAGCCGAAGTGACGCGTCTGATATTCTCCGACGCGACGGAATATCTTAGGACTTTTAAGCAGGCAAATGGGTTCTGTTTTGCCCGTTGTATATCGCAATGCTACGCCCTCTACTCGCTGTTCTTTCACCAACGTTGGCACTGGCTGGTGCTCCTCTCATCACCCTTCCCTATGGCGTCTTCCGCGGCGCTGCCGACGGAAACCTCTCAACGTTCCTCGGCGTGCCCTTCGCCCAGCCTGCGTATGTGCCAGTTTGTTTCTGCAGCACACATTCCATTTCTGATCCCTTCATTCGACGCAGCGCACGATTCGAGCTTCCAAAGGCGCCGGCCTTCTTACACGGCGTGCAAAACGCGACGACTTTCGGCGCGGCTTGTCCTCAGCAGGCGCTGTCCCCCCTCCCTGTCTCTCTGCCCCTTGCGATTGGGACGTACCCCGCGATCTCGGAGGACTGTGCGCGCGCTCCTTCTCCTCATTTTTGATTGATGACGAAGGGTATGCAGGCCTGACGCTGAACGTGTTCGTGCCCAGCTCGGCGGGCCCGAGCGCCAAGCTGCCCGTCTTCGTCGTGCGTCCGCTCTCACAGAGTTCATGATGAAGATTAACAGGTGTTCCAGTGGATCTACGGCGGTATGCGTGTTGTGAAGTCAGTGCACTGCGTAGATGTCTTACAGTGAGATAGGTGGCTTCGAGATAGGGAATTCCGCCGACCAAGATGTGCGCCCCATAGTCGAGCGGTCCATTGTCGCCGGCGAACCGGTCATAATCGTTACGCCGAACTACCGCCTCAGCGGTAAGCCAGCGGATTCCTCACCCCAATTTCAGTCATCAATAAACGGTTTAGCGTTCGGATTCCTTGGGGGCAGGGAAGCGGGAGATGCAGGGATAAGCAATCTGGGACTCAGAGACCGTGAGTGCAAGTCAACACGTCCAACGACCATACGTCCAAATTTCAACCATGTCCAGAAATATTTGCGCTCGAATGGGTGCAACAACACATCTCTGCGTTCGGTGGGGATCCCAAGCGGGTGGTGATGTACGCCTTCGTCGCTTATTTCACGGCGATTATTTGACGGTAGATCCACAGCGCCGGCCCCAGCGCCGGCGCGATATCCGTTGGCGTGCTCCTTCTGTCGAACAAGAGATTCAACCCCACAACATTGTTCCGTGGCGCGTTCATGGTATGCATGCGCATGTGTGAAGTTCGGTTGAACTGTGTAATGTGTCAATTTATAGCTCTCCGGGTCCCCAATCACGACCGGCACCGTTGCTGACGGGCAGCCCAACTACGACGGGTTGGTGGTCGCGAACAACTGTACCCATGCGGCGGACACGCTCGCATGCCTCAAGCGTGTCCCGTTCGACGATTTCATGGCGACGGTGAACAACACAACCAACTTCTTCTCGTACTCGAGCCTCCAGAATATTTGGCACCCGCGCGTAGATGGGGATGTTATCGTGCAGAACCCGTTGGTGTCAGTAGTGAAGGGGCAATATGCCAAGGTGATTGGCCGTTCACTTGGGCTTTCTCAACCCAACGCTGAACGATATTCTCAGATTCCTATCATCACGGGAGACTCAGACGACGAAGGAACGTCAGTGACAGCAGATCTGCTGTTTATTCAGGCCACTAACTCGTATTCGCCAGCGTATTCTCACTCTCAAACACCAACATTACGTGCGCTGGCTTTTACGTTCATACCAAAAGCTCGTCTCATTGTTTTATAGAACCAACGACGAGTTCTTGAGCTACATACATTCCAAGTACTGTTTCAACACTCCATTTTTTTTTTCGCTCAACAAATGCCACTTCAGTTATCTTCCCAGCGCAACACCCGCCCAGATCGCGAACATCTCACTGCTCTACCCGGATGATCCCGCCCAGGTGTGTATTGCCATACCGAACCCATATGGAGCGACCTCATTTCTTCCGTTAGGGATCGCCGTTCAATACCGGGAGCGCTAACCAGCTAACGTATGGTGCCTATTGAAATTAAACATAACTCACGCTGAGAACATCCCCGCGCCCTGCAGACCAGAATTCAAGCGGCTCGCCGCGTTCCAGGGGGACTACATGTTCGTGGGCGCGCGCCGGTTCTTCCTTGAACACGCATCCGCGACTCAGAATGCCTGGAGCTGGTGTGCGTAGTGATTATGTTTCCTGACACGGTCCCATAAACATCCGCACAGTGAACAAACGCGCGAAATCGACACCAGTCGTGGGCGCATCTCACGAAAGTGATATTTCCTTCTGGTTCCCGACGGCAAATTCGACCGGCGACACTGCCGCTATGGATGCCTTGAGTACGTGCCCGTCCCTGAGTCTTGTTGGGACGACGCTCATTGCTCCGCAGTCAACTTCATAAATACCCTCGATCCCAACCGCTCTCTAAATCCGACTTCGAAAAAAGAGGCCGCCATCTTCTGGCCGAAGTGGAACACTCCGTCTGCGAATGGATCGACCTCGCTGTTGACCTTCAGCGATCCCGGCCTCGTCAACATCACGGCCGAGAACTTCCGCGTGGACGCCATGCGGTTCTTGTACGACCTGCTTTTGGCGGACGCTGAGGAGGGGAAGAGCGGTTAACCACTGTTAGACTCATGAACTTCATAGAAGTTAGTTGGTTTTTAATAATGAAATCGGTAAAGCTCCTTATAGAGAACCTCATTTACTAAGAAGCGGCTTTGGGGTACCGCGCAACCGAAGCAACGTGGTAAATGTTCAAGAAGGTTTGCTTCCCCAACTCCAACTGAACCTCGGATTTGTTGGGGTGGCGGAATTCAGGCCGGAAAGTGAGATCTCCGACGGCTAGACCAAGGAAGTTAGAAGGGAAAGGCCAAGAAAGGAAATCCTGAACTTGAAAGGGCGGGTATTTGGCATTGTGTAGCAATCGAGCGCATCAAAGTGTAGTCTCTCCTAGACAGACGCTTCATCACATACGACGCTCGTACCTCGCTAATCAAAGTGAGTCTCGTGAGCAACTCCACATCACGTTGATGCGCCTGCTCACTATCCGTACGCGCTCACTCAGGTCGAGCCAGGGAAGATGAGGTCAACCATTGGTATTCTCGTTCCCGCAATCGATACAATCGACGCGGGATTGCACTCCACTACGTGGCATCTTGCTGGCATCTTGTGTCTCGTTGGAAGGCGCTCTCAGCTGTAATCATCAGCTTCATGACGCTTTAACTGCTTAACCATTCCTGAAGGCTGAGACTGTCGAGAGCCCAACAAACTGGGCCCTGCAGAGGAACTTGAAGTGCTGACTCGCTGTCGGAAGCGATCATGATGTTTCTTCTGCTATTCTTTGGTAGCTCGGCCGCCTGGAGTCTCACCAAATGAAGCTTCGGCAACAGAGCTTTCCGATGCTCATCGACGTGACCTACCTGGCGTGCTTACCGTATGGGCATCGGCCGTTCACCTCGAATCCTCTATCTTCCGCTACTCTAGATGACTTAGGTCTGCGTGCCACGTAATTGAAGATTCAGTTCGTAATCAGAAGGGAAAAAATGCAATGCGATCCTGAGTGTGTTTAGCTGGACCCGACTCTAGTCTTTTCCCGCGAAATACGTCCTTCAGCTGGGGTGGTACGATCTTCAGATTATGGTATGCTAATTACACGCTTGGCATTCTGTTTCCCAAATTCAAGCTGGCGGCATCACGGTCATGGATGTAAATCGCAAACCCAAGTTGAAACGTCATCATGAATTGGCACGGTGTCGGTAGTGCGGCAACTCGGAATGCACGAATTATCAAAGCCTCGGTAGCGCGGTAGTTGGGACTTCATAACTCGGTCCGTGCGGTCCCTCATCATCTCCTTCTTCCAACATGACTGTTCCTGGGTCAGTTATCTCTGCCTTTGTGGCCGCGCTATTTTTTGCTCACGTCTCCTTCGCCCTAGGTACTCTTCCGCACTCCCCCTTGAACGCGACAGTCATAGCCGCCGCCCAGAACGCGCACTACGGGTATGTACCCCATGAGGGCGTAGCGATCCTTTTTCTTGCCCTATATGGGATCAGCACTCGTAAGTGCGCGCCGTATGTTTCATTCAACTATTGCTCACATTGTCCGATAGTCTTCCGTGTCGGGCAGGCGATGTACTATCGCACCTGGTAGCTCCTCCCCACAGCAGCGCTCTGCGGCA